TTATTACGTCATGAGAAAATAAATACACGTGAAAATTTATGAATACATTTTTGACAGATTTCATTATGTCACCTACAGACACAATATGGTATCACTCATTCATTATATTATCTGCTTCAGTTTTTTTGATAGATTCCCCCCCCCCATCTAGGTGTCCATCCAGACATCTAGACATTATTTCAGACTTCAAAGCTAAGACTAAATGATTCCTCTAGTGTTGTTGGTCTGCTATTCTTCCATCAAACTCCAAGATAAAAAAACGCAAGTACCTTCAGCTTCATTTTTGCTGTCACTCTTTCTGTCTGTCCTCTGTGCTAATGACAAGATCTGTCTATATGTTGAAGACAAGATAAGTATGGAAGTGATAAGTTTCAGACAAATGGTTTCTACCAAAAAACGAAATTACACAAAAACACTAACAGGAAAGATTATTTTTTGAGCATTTCAGAAATGTGCTAACATTCTAAGAAAATATGAATATTAATTTTTTTTCTCAACACTTTTGTGATACATTTTCAAAGACAAAATGTTTCCAGTTTTGTTTCAGTTTTCATTATTGAAAAGAATTAGTTCCCTTTACGAATCTAGATAAAGGAATAAGAAGAGGTAATTTGTCTGAATCGTGTAGTGCTGTGTTTGCGCAACACATTTCGAACAATCTGATCACACGCAGACTTGTCATAGGATTGTATATATATGAAATTAATAAAGAGTTAAGAGGTGAGAAAATAGACTACTTAGGTTAAGTTAAAAGGACATATTCAAGGTCGAAATAACAATGAAGACCACTAAACCAAATAACAGAGGTAATAGTACATCTACCATGGCTGGTATCAAAAAAAAGTTTACCAAAGAAGGAAGGTTTAGTGTGATGACGAATTGTTTTTGAACGCATAGAGGTGGTTTAAACTTCCTAATTGCCAGCTAGGGCTTCCAAAAACTTTAGGATACGCCTCAAACACGTTTTATAGATAGGTTAAAAGACGTGTTAACGTCAATTTTATGTCCTGTCTCTATAATATGTTTCGCGATAGAGGAGCTAGGTCTCCTATTCTCATCATTAATGGGTTCTGAAGATCCCATTTGTTTCTGCAGCCATTTAGGAATATGCTCTGAAGCCCTTACTTGGTAAATTTTGCTTTGATACCATAGCAGATGTACTATTACCTCTGTTATTTGGTTTAGTGGTCTTCATTGTTATTTCGACCTTGAATGTGTCCCTTTAACTTGACCTAAGTAGTCTATTTTCTCACCTCTTAACTCTTTATTAATTTCATATATATACAATCCTATGACAAGTCTGCGTGTGATCAGATTGTTCGAAATGTGTTGCGCAAACACAGCACTACACGATTCAGACAAATTACCTCTTCTTATTACTTTATCTAAATTTTCATTTTGATAGGCATTACTCAATCAAACACTATATATCGTTGTTATTCAATGGTTGGAGGCAATCATCAGCAGGAAGCCACCAACCTGTGTTTCATGATTGTTGGCACTCAACAGGCAGCAAGACGTATCTGCAGTCTGCAAGAAAGTCACGTCACCTCTGAGATTCGAACCCGTGTCACCCATTTATGCAGTGAGATGTTACCACTGAGCTATTTGGGCTCGCGACTGACCTTCTGTAGGACTGTATTGGATACTTCAATTGGACACTATTTACTTACCACCTAGTGTCCAATCAAAGTATGGCATTGTTTTCAATGCGCAGTTCAGATATTCTTAGTAAACAGCTAAAGATGGACATTCTTTTAAGCTTTCAGTATATAAAACTCACTATATGAGGACAGTGTTTTATATATTGAAGCAAATTAATCACACCTACTGTTGATTGAGAAGACATTGTTTACTTTGAAAATAGTCAATCAATAACCACTAATTCCGGTTTTGGAATTTTTTCTTTGAGGATAAGAAGTATGAAAAGTGTTGAACACCAGTAGGTATGTATTTGTTTCACAATCCACCAAGGAGTAGAGATTTAATCGGTTCAGTGTTTTGTAACGATGAAAGCTGCCTGGTTTCCTCTTGCTTATTTTATCCAGATGCAAAGAAGTCTTCGTAGAACTATGGATCCTAAGATTTCGTTGTATACTATGATGTTCAAGGTGATTCTCAGGAAATCTCACGGGATAGATGGCAGTTAGCAATGGAGTCAAGTAACATGAAGTTCAAATTAAAGGCGTCACTCAAGCATCCGTAATAGAAGCTGGTATACAAGGATCTATGCTTTCCGTCCAATATGAACAAAATGTGGGAAATTTTAATGTTTTAATAAAGAACTTCTAATACTCATCCACCGACCCTCTCCATCGATTACTTCTGACTTCATCCAAACTGCAATGTGTAATTTACTGACAAGAAAATGAAACCAAAAGATCAGAGACACAAAACATTATTTGTATGAAAAAAGAAATTTTACATGAACTGTGATTTCAAGGGAGAAGTAACCTGGGATATGTTGAGAAGAAAAATTTCAATATCTTTGAAAAGAAAATTCTTCACGAAAACGCTAAGAGTATTAGCCAGACGTCTACTGTTCTGCAGAAACCTGAAAGAGAAGACCTCACATTTGACCATTTGTGTGTGCATATATCAGTTCACATGATCTTGTCGAGCCAGATATATTGATCTTTCGATGTGTATCCTGTCTAAAAGGGTTCAAGAACACTATCACGCATACCTGTAGAAAGATAGTAGCTGTTCTACAAGGAATGAAATAAGTAAATACCTCGTCAACAATCGTCACCCTATCCCACCCACCCCCTTCAAAGTAATCTAAAAAGAGAAGAACAACCTGCTAAGATGACACGTTATCTTCTCCTCTGCATTGCTGAAGCTGTAACCATTCAGACCGGAGCTGTGCACACAATAGGAGAATTTTGAGCCACCTCTACAATCGAGGCAAGCACACCTCATTGTTTCCTAACAACTTGATCTTTGTTTGTTTTTAACTCATTATTACTTGTATTCCATCCGAACTCTTCAGCAGCATCACATTTTTCATTCCTTACTATGTGCATTGTGATAACAGCTCATTCATTATATTACTTGTCTTATTACGTAACTATATTTCTCTTATTCTACTTCTCTTATGCACTGATTAATACTAACTATCAACAACTTTTGTTACTGTTCCCTTTCATGTAAAATATGTAAATAAATGCGATTGTACAGCTTAAGAAAATGAATTCTCTGAAAAGATCTCTTCAATGAACTACTTGTTTTGTTCTCACATGAAAATGTATAGACGAATACTGCCTACCGTCTATCCAGAAAGCGAAAGTTGATTTCTTATTTAGGATATCTCAAAGAAAAAAGCACCAGTTTTGTATGACAACAGTCACATACCATCTGTTTGAAGATGGAATCAATAGATTTTCAGCCGTAGAGAAGACCTTACTACCGGACACAAAACGCCGAAGGATTTCGCTGAGGCAATCCTATCTACTAGCAGTATAGCCTTGCGTTTAGTACCGCACCATGATTTAAATAACTTAAGTTAGGATATTCGTTTGTTTAGTCCAATCGATCTTAGGATGGGATGGTAAAACCTCAAGGGGCGCCAATATATATTCAAGAGTTCGGTTTCTAAGGAATAGATTTGTTTATACGAGTTTGACCACGGATTGATATCAGTTAGAGAACCATCGAAAACCAGGGGGTACTTGATAGCCAGTTTTTTCATCCCAGTTTGGGGATCATTAATAGTACTGGGGTTCGAGCCCAGGACCTTCCGGTTACAAGGCAAGCTCGTATACCATTCAGCCACTGGGACTCGATTCATTAACCAGCCCATGAATCCTAACTTCTACCAATTCGTGATTTAGCGCAACCGGCACCAACTAATGTCATCAGTGGGAACTCCATCCTCACACTAGAACTCAAGAAAACTCCTTCCTGTAGCAAGTAACTAGCGAGCAACGGATGAAACACATGTCCAGTACTCCCTGGTTATCATTGGTTCTCTAATTGATATCAATCCGCGGTCAAACTAGTATATATATTGAAAAATTCGTGGAAAAATTTCCCCTTTTTACGCCTTAAAAATCACAATCTGAATGAACTATTCAACAATAGAATGTTATAATATTCTCATCGTGTATCAAACGTCAGATGGACAGAGATATAACTAACAACTTCACTTGCACTAAAAGTAGCATTTCCAAACACAGACTATAGATATATATTCGTGTAACTCAATGATTTGTCACCAGTAAGGATCTTGAATGCTAGGGATATATGTGTTAATCATTTGATGCCAACAGCCAAGTACCACACAAGAAACTTCGGTAAACAGTCTAAAAAACAACCTACAGTGCTTCAGATTACTTTCCAACAGTTAAACGGTTGAAGGCAATTGGCAGAAAGCCTACGCTGCACCTAGGTTTGATGCTTGTTGACACTCGTTAGTCAGCCGTATCCTAAATCTCGAAGGAACTCATGTCGATTTTGAGATTCGAGACCGGCTCAGCTCAGAAGAAGTCAGAGGCTTTATCACACTAGTATGGTGGTCACATTGCAAACTTGATTGACACAGAATTCACTTTAAACCAAACACAGGACAAGACGTATGACATTAATTACTACCCAGTGTTCAATCAAAGCATTTTTCATGAGTGTTTCGAGTAAAACAAACTTCACATCCTTTCTAAGAAAAAAACAATTTCTCATAAGGGAATAGAATAAAACCTATATTTTTTTAAAATATCCAATGATTAATAGAAAAGCAAATCAAAAAATGTACAAAAATTGATGACAACGACAACACGAAGAAGAATCACAGCAATAGGACAGGTGATACGCTTATAGTGACAGCAACAATGGAAGGGAAATACAGAGTAATCATATAAATTTGCTGGGTAAGGAGAGAAAAAACACTTGCCAAAAGCAAATCACAGCATAGATAAAATGAAAGGGAACTTATACAAGATTAGAAATCAAAAGAAGCAAAAGGGGAAAAAAAGGGAGAATAGGAAACACAGGGAGAAGAAATATTAAATTTTACGTAGCTCATCTTCAAGTGAATACATTTTCAATTTAAGATTTTTCAATTCATTCATTATTTGATTAGATCGAGTTGTAGATGCTTTCACTTGTTTCAGCAGTGCTATATCGATGTCTTTGTTGTTATTCCCATTGATTGATTCTGGTAGATCGATTCCATCAGTAAAACCAAGAGTTAACTAAAATAATGAATAATAAAATAAAAGATTTTAAAAGGAAATAACTATCATTATCATTAATCACTGGTATATTTAAAGTGACAAATCGTTATTACTTATTTGGTAATGAGTAGTAGTACGTCAGTGGCTCAGTGGTAGAATGCTCGCCAGCAACGCGGGAGGTAAAGGCTCGATTCTTAACCGACGCACTCCTGTACTTCATCTAGTTTACTAGCTGATAATAAACCCTGAAAAGAGAGAAGCTTGGATGTGAGGATAGCAATACCACCCTGTAACAACTAGTAGCAGTGACAGTGCTCCCTGTGAAACTTGAATATACAATGCAGCTTATTTTGCAACTGAACCACTAGGACAGTTTGAAAGAATGTCATCATACCCCACTTTGATCTGAATTTCATCATTAACAACTCTCTGAATAATTGTCACACGGTTGGAGGCAGTCGACAGAAGACCGATGTTGATAATATGGAATTAAAGATCTACTTTGGATGTTCAAAAAGAAAAAATCTTTTGTCAGATATTCATTTATTCTTCGTTTTGTATTTCTATAGGTATCAATTCAAATATACATTACTATTCGTTTCTTGCATCCCGAGCGGAACGTAGAGCTTCAGGAGCACATTTACATTGTAATTATGCTCTTTAGTGTCTTTTGTAACTGGCTCCACAACTGCAAACACACACGGGCTTTCACTTCTTCCTCCAATGGATCTCCTCCATGTCACCCTTAGATGTTACATCTAAAGGCCTGGCCTACAACGTGTCATTCAACAGTCTCCTCAGTGTATGTTTAATTATTCTGCATTCCTCTTCATATATTTGTTACGTAATAGGTTCTTAGCTGTTTCGTTGCAAGAGTTTCTTGTTGCTTATCCTTTTCATTCGGCTATTTGATCTTCAAGTATTGAGTGAAGACATCCGCTGTCATTTCGATTACCGCTTGTAAAATCTTAACTAATGATCAAAGTGAACAAACTCGTAAAACAAAAGCTTCAAATTCAATGTTGAAAATTTGACTGTGCATTGATTATTCAAAGTTCTCGATAACATTCGATTATCCAAAAGTTTATTGTACAGGGAGAAATGCAACTGTTCCTTCTGTGAAGTTGTGGATTATTGACTTAACTTTCAGCCGATTGTTTTAGTGTTCGAATCCCCTTCCACCTAATATAGCCTGGATTACTGTGTACTATCAGCAGTCCATACACACACAGTAAGTGTGGCTTATAATCTGCTATACACAAGGTCTATTTTGACTAAGTGAGTTCCCGCGACAAAAACAACAGGTGTTCCATCTTATTTCCCTACGCATTCTAGAAGCCTTGTACATAAACGGACTTTTCTTTTATTCCATTACGTTCCAAGTGAAACATCGGGCATGAAGCTCTAAGCTTTAAATTTCCAGCTTCACTTGTGGTGTTTTTACGGAATGACTTCCTTAACCTTCCCACTTTACCGGGCTTACTATCGGCCAGGAGAGGTTTACGAGTGCGTCGGTTAGGAATCGATTCCCTGACCACATGTACGTAGCTGTCAAGCATCCTACGCCTGAACCATCGTACATAAACGGATTATTTCCAATTATTTGCAATATAACAAAATATCAGTACAATTATAAAGCATTTTCTGAATAAATTTCATTCGATAGTTGGTTGCGTGAAAGCAAAGCATAAATTTTAACTGATTTTAAGAGAAAAATCAAAAACATTGAAAAGTACTCTAAATTTTTTTCTGTTCTACTATCAAATTCAATATTCATAAACGTGTACTACCCATTAAGATAGATAATTTGAAAATTATGTTTAAACTGTAAAGGAGAAACATCCCTATCTGGTTTTGTATTTCTAATTATTGCTTAAGTCCATCTTTATTCTTAAGCGAGTAATTAGATAAATAATTCTTTGAGGAAATAAATGACTACTAACAGAGTTTTCAACATAGAACTTAACTCAAAACCGCAGTAGTTCAAGTTACCGCACTTCATATAACACATAGAGGTAGAGAAAAGATTCAAAAAAGTATAATGAACGGAAATGTGTAGGCGAAAGAATAGTAATATGGAAAAACATGAGGACATCTTAGCATCAGGAGGACCCCAGTAGAGCAATCTATACCTCCCGATGTGGTTCAAACCAACAGTCATAGACATCATCAATGGATATCAGGTTTAGATTAGGCCGCCATTGCTTAACGAATGTATGCGGTAGCTCGGAATGCGTACCACTTGCTCTAGATATGTCAACCGAAGTAGCTTCACAACCTCATCTATAGAGTTGCCCTCTTCACTTAACACTTTGCAATATTACTCAACATATTATACTACTTAACACGGGCGGAGGAAATATGCAGGCAAATGACGAGCCTGAATAGCTCAGTGGTAACGTCTCTCACTGTAGCACTGGGTGACGCGGGCTCGAATCTCAGAAGGGACATGAGTTCCTTCAAGGTAGCAGATACGCCTTGCTGACGAGTGCGGACTAGCTCGATACCTAGGTCCAAGGCTTCCTGCCGATTGCCTCCAACCATCGCGTCGGTGGCACGGCGGTTAGGATGCTAGTCGACCATGCACATGGTCCGCGCTTCGATCCCCGGCCGGCGCACTCCTTTACCTCGCTAAGCCAGAAATAATGCTGGTGAAGAGGAAAGGTTGGGTATGAGGCTAGCAACCCCATCCTGTAAAAATTAAACACTGCTACAGAAACTTCAAGCCTGTAGCTTGAAGCCCTATGTTCCACTGGGAACGTGAAGGAATAAAATAAATAAATAAATAACGAAAAACGTGACGATTCAATCAGTATTGATTATTCATAATACTCTTCATGATTCAATAATTCGAATGACAAATACACTTGTTCACAGTGTACACTGTTAGGATTTTCAACGCCCATACAACTTATATAACTACTTAAATAGAAATGAACGAGTTGGTTAGTTGAATGAATTTACAATGTAGAACTTTGCACTTTCCAGGACTCAATTAACTACAACAAGTTTCTTGCATATCAGGTCATATGCTACACTTATTGTGTGAGGATTAATGACAATATCTAATCGCCAGGTTAAAATAGACGGAGCGGAATTGTAGCCGAAGACTCACTGGTTGAAAGCTAAGTGATAAAGCTAATAGGTTTCGATTACGAGCTGAAATCAGTTAGAGAACCATTGGAAAATCATAGAGTACTGGACAATTGTTTGTTAGGGACCCTTGAGTGGTATGAATTCATAAACAGTTCCTGGGTTCAAACTCGGGTGGGTGTGTACTACAGAAGGGCCCCAAACTAGAACGAAACCGATGTCCAGTACTCCCTGGCTTTCCCATGGTTGTCTAGCTGATGTCAACTAGTGATCAGAACCTGCAACCATTCAACGCCCCCCCAACCCTTGCAGACCAACACTTGAAGATGAAGGCAGTAAGCCAAATCTCCAATGTAACGATGAATCAGCGGTTGAGACATGTAGTCACCAAAATAATCTGTAACAACTTGACACTTTATAATACTACACAAAAAAGACATTCAACCAACAGAAAAAAGTATACCTATTGTACCTTTAACAATTGTCTTTCAACTTCTTTTAATTTTTTACGTAATGTACTAATATCAGTACGATAACCTTCCATTTCTAATTGACGTCTACGTTCTAAATTTTGATAACGTTGTGACATAACTTGTACACGTTCATGAAGTTTATGAGCTTGATCTTTGAAGAGATCTTTCGAAAGAACGCCTTCTTCACGTACACGAACTAACTCTTCTTCCAATTGAATAACCTGAAGTAGGCAGGAAAATGACCGATTAGGAGAAAGGAAAAGCTTACTTATAAATAATCGATTTATTAAAAATATAACTTAAAACCATTAAATCGTATTGAATTATTCCTATCTTTTGTTAACTAAAATTATACAAAATATACAAAATTGCATTATCTACAGCGAAAGTATTCATGAAAAGTACAAAAACAACTTAATAATCATTACGCCAATATCAGTCTGTAATACTGAAATTTATCGACACAAACCGACATTAGTTAGAGAAGTTTTAAGAAGCAGGAGGTACTGGAAGGCGATCTAGTCCTAGTTTGGCACTCTTCAGCAGCACACACCCGTTGACCGCTTCGCTTAATTGGGAAGTACCATCAGCCCCAACGGGTTGATCTCCGACGAAATCTCAGCACGGATACAGAGGGCTAGTTTTGCATATGCCAGTTTACGCCGTCTCTGGCATAGACGTGATATCCGACTATCGACCAAAGGGCTCATCAGTCCACTCTGTCCTCCTTTATGGCTGAGACTTGGCCATTGAGAGTGGAAGGCATGAAAAGATTAGCTGTCTTCGATCATAGGTGTCTGCGTTCTATCTCCCGCGTGAAGTGGTATAATAAGGTGAGCAATATTGAGGTTAGGCATCGGTCAAGTGCTAGGTAAGGAGAGGAAATCAGTCGACGAGACTGTGAAATTACATCGACTGAGATAGTTAGGACATGTGTTACGTATGCCTAGTCATCACCTTCCTCGACAATGGGCAATGTTAGCTCATATAGGGTCAGGCTGGAAAAGAGCTAGCGGCGGTCAAACCAAAACATGGCACCAGTCAATGAAATCTACAACAGTTAGTCTAAGTCACGTGGGAAGGTGTAGACTTCCTGGTTGGGGTCCTCGGGACGATAAAAACCAATGGTTGGAAACAATTGGTGACATGGCTCAAAATCGTTCTCAATGGCTATCGCAGATGCATCCACTCCTTGTGACTTATGATTTCCAATGAAACTATACTGTTCTTCGTTATTACTATTCCTTTGTCTCACCACACCTCTGTTTACTGTCTATATTATGCATTTCTCGTAGTTTCTTCTCTTACTTTGTGTGCTACATGGAATGTGGCGACTTGAACTGCAAAGTTCTAGGTCGATAACAGACAGACAGACAGACACACCCATAACCTTAACAAGATTTGACACCAGGAACTTTATGTTTCAAGGCGAGTAAGCAATGGACCGGATTTCAGTGACTTATCAATTCAAGCTTCCGTCAATCCACGATAACACTGACTATCACCAACTAATGTCCTGCCTTGTTCACACACGTATGCCTTGGCAGATCCCACCGGTCATAACTTCTCATTAGGACGCCTGAAAGTCTCTCTTGTATTAATATATGCGTAAAACTTGAGCACTGTGGTAGTATGTAATTCCATATTAGTTTGTTTATTAGATATATCACACAGTGAAACAGTATCATTCACCGGATGACGTTTTGAATACAACTTATTCTTGATAATCATATGAATTATAATCATACGACTTCGAAACTTTCGCTTTATTAGTTCTCTTCATTCTTTTCTATTTGTCGGCGGGGTTGACCAGAATAAGATAAAAAAATCTAGAGAATAGTTCAGTTATAGCACACACTACATGCAATTACACACCACCATACAATAGGATGGATGGAATAGGATGACAGTTTTAAAATCTAATGTAACAGCAGGGTGGAGGGAGAGATTGATGACAACGGAAGCTTAATTTATCGAATCGACTGCAAACACGTGTAGTAGGAATGATTTAACACCTGTTCCTACGACAAATAGGAGACAACAAAGAAAACTACAGAACTCAAGTTTCAAAGTTGTGTGATTATGAACAACAAATTGTGTTCGAAACGTCATCCAGTAAATAATACTGTTTCACTGTGTGATGTATCTAATAAACAAATTAATATGGAAGTCTCTCTTGTAATTGTTCACTAACAACTACAATAAGAGATTCTCACTATCAATCCTACTTACCGACTTTGTACCAAAAAAACAACACAGGATAAATTTTGTTCTAATCAACGTCAAGTATTCGACAGGATAAAATAAATCAGTTTCAGTACAAATAAAGAATACAATGTAAAACATCACTGAGGGGAACTCTAAATGAACGGCATCTGTTTGATGGTAATATAAACTTGATATCACATCAGTATGCAAAGGCAGCATGAAGATTAAAAACAGGATTGTAAAGCTAGCAGACACGACTTATATTAAAGAGGAGAAAAATTCCATTCCCTATAGTTTGTACTGCTACTCATGAGTATGTCACAGCAATATCTCTAATATTATCTTTAATTCTGAAGTAAATCCAATATTCATAAAGGCCTTGATTAGACGATATCCCCTCTTCAGACTCATGTTAAAACTTATACATCAAGCAGAAGTGTTTTGACCCCCGATGACTCACTGAGAAAGGCATCAGATTTCCCGATTACGCTTGGCTTTATCTTTACAACAAAAAGCAAAGTTATGGAATTTGTGGGGATTTGGATTGATTTCATTCTAATTGTTAGATTTCCTTACGAACCAAAACCAATTAAAGAGATCACCATCATAAGCTGAAGACCCTAGATGAGATCCCTGGCGGGATCATGGATGCAGACTACTGAGGAATACCGAAATAGGACGAAACAGCTGTCCAGGGCTTCACGGTCTTCACTGATCTCTTTAACTGATGGTAGTTTGTGATGAAATCCAACAATTAAAAAGTAAAGTGTTCAATACCATTGTAACAACAGGAGACAAGGGCCATGCAACAGATCGTTTATTAAGGAAATCAACACATATTTATAGATTTTCAAGTACATTATTATAGATTATTGTTAGCAGACAAACACAGTCTTCTGATTGGTTGTTTCTCACTGAAAGTTAATCTTTCATCTCTTTGTGACTGTTTCTAGAAGGTCGGATCGTCTATCTGCTAATTGTATCCGCCTACACAAAGTCTATTCTGATTGGCCGTTCAGTCAGTCTTTGTTCTTGTCTTCACATGACCAATATTTGGGACATAAACATTGACATAAATTACTGTCTGCCAATTTGTCTAGCAGGCAGCTCTCACCACACCATAACTATCGTATAGTTGATAGTGAATTCAAGTTTATTTCACTTAATATTATCATTCACTAAAATTTAGCAAATGTGTTTCACAGTCACCACCTACACAAAAATGTGCATGGTTATTCACTCGCCTCCTTACCATGTCTGTAAACAGAAGTGAAAGATTCCAATACAAAAAAACTTCAATCATTGAAAGTCGAGGTTCGTCAGATCGTTACTGATTGACAGAAACAACTGTTTACAGTGAGTCTCCTGTCTCCAAACTCTTCTCTAACTGATATTATTTAGCAAAGGAATCTTGTTATGACCAGAACTACGACCTACTAGACTATGAGCGAATACTAACTTAGTGGCGCTGGCTAATCTGTCCTAATCGCACGTCAACAACAACAACAACAGTGATATCACCACCGAGCCTCAAAGACAGAAGAAAATACTGGACATTGGTAAGAGGAAGGTTGACAGCGCTTGCGTACATATATGTTTGACAAGAACCTTGAGAAGCACTAATGTCATTGATAAATTAAGACAATGAAAAACCAATAGGATTTCAAAGATGTAAAAGTGACATGTAGATAATTAGGTCTATATACCAATCTACATTAATATGACGAGGCAACCTAGTGTGATATCAAATACTAAACCTTACATTTCTTGATGATACGACTCTTAAAATCATTTTGAATGGATTTCATCGATTTATTTAGAATCGGGTGTAGACACTTCTTAGATAGTCATTTGAATCACAGGTACAAACGTAATCCATCAATTACACAGCTTGAACAAATGGGTTTCAATAACTGTTTTATGTGGTCCTCAATCCACTAAGCAGTTAGGGCGAAGTTCAACAATAGCGTCCCAGGAGTGCGAACGCTCCAATGATCTTGAACGCATGCTAGTCACTGGATGACGGGACCTGTCATTATCATACCTGAAATATCAGTGCTATTCACCAGCTAAGCAGCAAATTTCACCCAGATCACGTTTGTAAGTACTGTTTGGACAATGTGTTAATACCTCGTCAGGGTTAGGGTAAGGATTAAGGTTAGCGTTACGATTAGGGATAGATTTAGAGTTGATGTCATTTATTTTAATTTGTTTTATTATCCACATCCTTCTAGTAAGTAGTCGTCTATCCTCTTACTGGAAACCTTAGTAATTCAACCGAGGGCTTTTGGGGAAGACTGTACAACTGGATAAGAGAGATGAAAGATTCACAAAAACAGTTCATCTTCAGTTACCTCGGTGAATACATGTACAGAAACTAGTCTAACTTAGCAACTGATACTCCTCATTATAATTGGGACGTATTTTTAAGTCATGTCAGAGAAAGATAACCCGTTTAATGTGTTTTCATGCACTTTTTTTGTAAATATACGTCATTTTTTGTGCAAAATTCACTTATTTTTATGATTGGTCGGCTGAAGGTCACTCGTGCGTTCGTATCCCTTGGAACGCTATTGTTGAACTTTGCCGCAGTTAGCATCACACAATTAAGCTATTCGTTTATTTTATTGTAAATAAGCGTCCAGAATGAATCATAATATAATAACAGAATAAGAAAGAAAATATGAAATTTTAAAAACATGTAGATTGAAGTTAGCCCTGAAGATGCTGTCCCTGAAAGACAATGCAAGCTTTACAGATGTCACCCCATTATGGATAAGATTTTATTTTGATAAGTCACACAGTGTTATACAGTAATATTAACTGATGACCTTTCGAGCACAAACTATTGCTTATAATCATATCAAGTTACTCACACAACTTTTTCCTTCATTTATATACATGAGTGGAATCAATTAGATATTGGAATAAAAATCAATATAGGATAATGTACATTCAGAAATAATAATAAGTGTTATTGATCAATTACAATCACATGGGAAATACGACGAGTGTTTTTATAGTCATAATAAGTAACTTGTTAGAATGTTGTGATGTGCTTGAATTGAAATAGAATTTTAAGATTATTTATTATCCTCCTCTGATTTGACTGGTGGTAATAATATCTTCCATATTTCTGGTATTTGCATTGAGTCATTTCTGTTGCATGTGTTGGGTGTAGACTCAATGAACAAGGATTCAGTAATCAACCTCTCTCTCCACCTACATAGATTACTTCTTAGAATCTTAACCCTCTCCCACCCTATTGTGTGGTTTTGTGTTAATGCATGCAGTGCAATTGCTGAGCTTTTTTCTAAATTACTTATCTTCTCGGGGTCAACCATTCTTACTTTAGCTAAATTCTTATGTTCCGACAATCTGATTACCCCCGATCTACTAGTTTGACCTAACTTACAGTCATTGCAAGGTATTTTGTAAATTATATTATTTTGTTAAATTGGGTCTACCGGGTTCTTTAGCCTACAGAGCTTGTCCCTGAGTGAGTTTGTAGGTTTGAATGCCACACTAATTCCTGCTTTATTAAGAATCCTACGTAGGGTCTCAGATGTCCCCTTCTTATTTGGTATAACAGTGTATGACTTATATTCTCTCTCATTTATGTTATCATTACTAGTTTCACAATTATTTTTAATTTGCTTTTGGTCTTTTTCGATCTTCCTAATGAATTTTAGAGGATAGTTATTTGATACCAACGCTTCTTCTATCTGTTTTATTTCATCAATTAGGTCTTTTCTCGTGCTACTTAGTGCTATTGCTCGATTTGTTAAACACTTAACTAAGCCTGCCTTAACAGTTAAAGGATGAGATGAATTAAAGTCTAAATATCTATTAGAATGCGTTGGTTTTCTACAAACACTAGTGTGTAGTTTACCCTCTTCTATTCGTTTTATTTTACAATCTAACATAGCTAATTCTCCTTGTTCATTTTCTGATTGAAATGTGAATTTTATTCCATCTACTAGTGAATATATATATGTCAAGAAGCTAGAGATATGCTCTGTTTTTAACACTGTGAAAGTGTCATCGAAATATCCCCACCATATTTTTGGAGTAGGATTAAATGTATCAAGAGCCATATTTTCCCAGCTATCCGTAAATATATCTGCTACGATAGGGGATATTGGTGATCCCATTGCTACACCTTCTGTTTGTCTATATATTTTGCCTTGGAATTTAAAGATAGTAGATGTGAGGCATAACTGAATTCCTAAAATAATTTCTTCAATGGGCAGCTTTGTCCTATGAGTGAGTTCAGGATCTGCAGTTAGTTCTTTTTTAACTGCTTCTAAGGCCATATTGATTGGTATATTAGTATAAAGACTAGTTATATCAAAACTAACCACAGCTCAGAGAACGCACCAACATCAAAAATCATCATCTATCCGGGATACAAATCTTCTTCAATTTATATATATATAAATTTCAAACTAAACTATGAACTTACTTGATCTCTATACATATCAGACAGTTTTTGTTGTTGATCTAATTGATTTTCTAAATTTTGAATTGTTTTCTCTAATTGTATCTGTTTTTGTTGATTGACTTCAGCCCATGCACGAGATTCTAAACTTTGTATATTGGTGTTATTTAATAAATCCATAGGATTAGTATAATTATTATGATTATGATTTATCCTATCAGCCAGTGGATCAGTGAGATTACGTCCATCAGTTTTCATAACAGCTGATCAAAGGCATTGTGAATACAAAGCAAGACAATAGAAGCATATGAACAATTGATCTTAGAACATACATATTTTTTTTTTAAAAAAAAGGTTGAATTGGACATTAATTTACTTGAGCTGTGAATTATCACAGTTTCAGTATTCCACTTTCAACAAGTCCGTCGCCTTTAGATACCAGTGTGTTCACAGACAAGTAGTATCATCATCTAGCCTTCTATAATGAGTGTTAGTCATTCAATGTATTTACTAATCAGCATGTGGTTACTTCTTTCACTTATCTAGGGAGAATTGTCTCAACTACAGGCAGGTGGAACAGTCGAGGATGTCAAATCGAGAATCGGGAAGGCGAGAAACACATTCATCAACCTGAAACCAATCTGGAAATCTTCGTCACTCAGCCTGCATCAACAACAAAGTGATTCGGATTTTCAATACAAACGTCAAGTCAGTCAGTTCTTCTATACGGATCAGAAACTTGGTGGGTCACAAAGAACGTTTCCAACAGCCTGTTGCGGACCTTTATGAACAACTGTCTTCGTTCTATACTCAAGATCAGATGGCCGGAAAGAATCACCAACAAGAAACTATGGGAACAAACAAAACAAGAACCAATTGCCCAACAAATATGCAGAAGAAAGTGGAGATGGATTGGACACTCGCTGAGGAGGTCGCTGGGTGACATCGCGCGTCAAGCCATAGCTCGAGTGGAACCTGAAAGGGAAGCGGCGAGTGGGACGTCCAAGGGTGACATGGAGGAGATCGTGTGAAGAGGAGTTGAAACAGTATGGATTAACATGGAGGCATGTGAAAAGTACAGCAGAAGACAGAAACAACTGGAGGCGTGCAGTTGAAGCCCTATGTTCCACTAGGAACCCAAGGGAACAATAATAATAATAATGTGGTAGTTATTCAGTGACAAGATTATTAAGCTGAGTACTTGTCAATCACTAAGTTAAGTTATACTGTTTATTCATCAGCCGACAATTCACGAAATAAAGACAAACTGCCTAATTTCACCTCTCCAATGTGTGTATGCATCAGCGATTCGGCAAGTATATCGTCAAATTTCCGACACACCTATCCATCTTGGTTAGGCAAAAGACGAAAATTAAAGCTATACACAGCTCAATACTAGCCCATCTCATCGATACAGAATATCAAGTCAACACTAGCACAGCTCTTAAAGTTATCCATCGAATTTCATCCAACCTTTTATATACTCTATGAGATCGACGTTTTAATGCAGAAGAGGTAATTGAAATTCATCTGAATAATTTGAATCCATGTAATAAAAAGAAACTTGTGCAGCCCCCTTTCTTTGTCATATCTGTCTACACATTAAATGTATAAAGTCTTACTAATAGATTTTAATAGTAATAATAATAGCTTTATTCTGGACGGAATGTCTTCGCAATGCACTGAAATCTCAGCGTAATTTTCTACAAATTATTATTTCCTTTTCATTCAGCATCCTCAAGTAAAATATCATGTGATACAGTACCGTTCAAAGTGAAGCAAAGACTAATCTCCCTCATGACATCTCTCCATCATCTCCGAGAAATGCGCACGAGAAAAATGAAAGAAAATTAAAAATGCGCATGAGCACATTTTGAATGGTAATTCCTTCATCCTTTAACTTCATTGTTTTATTTTTTCTATTTTATTATGATTACCATTACAGATAATTCAAATAAACCACTTGTTTCAGGATTTCATCATGAACTGACATCAGTTAGAGCACCATTGGAAAACCTGGGAGTACTGGACAGCTGTTTCGTCAGCCTAGTTTGGGACTCTTTAGTAGAGCGCACCCACCACCAGGGTTCGAACCCATGACCTTCTGGTTACAAGGCGAGCTTGTGGACCATTAAGCCACTGGGACCCAATCCAATGGTTCATAAATTCCAACTTCTGCCAACTCATTATGGGTGAAATTTATTTTGATAAAGTCTCACAGTGTTATACAGTAATATATATTTACTGATGACGTTTCGAGCACAATCATATCATATTTATGACCATATCCGGCCAACAGGTTCAATAATACCAAGACTTTATGGTCTACCAAAGGTACACAAGGTTGGTCTCCCACTTCGTCCAATTCTGGATATGTCAGGTTCCCCCTACCAGTCTATTGCAAAATGGCTGGCAGATATTCTGGGACCTGTAAAGAAACAATTATACACACACTCGCTCCGTGACACCTTCCAATTCATCGACTGCATACAAGACCTGAATGTATCTAACAAAATTATGCTGTCTTTCGACATTGAGTCACTTTTCACCAATGTCCCACTCACGGAAACCGTCTGCTTCACATGCAAATATACAGATGATAACCATTTCAATATTGGAATACCAACAACATATTTGAAGGAATTACTACTGAGATGCACTCTGAACGTCCAGTTCACTTTCAACGACACCATCTATAGACAAAAAAGGTGGTATTGCAATGGGATCTCCGTTGGGTTCACTACTATCAGATTGCTTCGTGGCAGGCCTCGAGAAAGGTCCACTAAAGCCGAGCATTGACAATTTACGACTGTATAAAAGATACGTAGACGACATATTCATTATTTGTGACAACAACAATGACCCCAATCTACTGCTGAAGACATTTAACTGTTGCCATCCAGCAATAAAATTCACTCTTGAAATGGAGAACGAATCAGAAATTCCGTTTCTTGATGTGCAACTAACAAGAAGAACTGATGGGAGCCTAAGAAGATCGATCCATAGAAAAGCTACTTGGAGCGGTTAATTAACAAGCTTCTATAGCTTGGTACCCATTCAACAAAAGTGGAAGTTAGTTAAATCCCTTGCCACCCGCATCCAACGTATCTGTAGTCATTAACACCTAATTTTTTTGACTGATTTTGTATTACGTAACTCCAATTACCAATCTTCACCTGTTTAGTTAAAATAACCATAACCAATTGTATTTTTGTTTGACAAACTTAATGCCCACACATACAAAATAACACATATATATTTGAGATTGTGCAGCTAAGAAAATGTATTCGCCGAAAAGAGACACTTCACTGAACTACGTATTTTGTTTCCATATCATATCTGCCAATTCATGATATGGCGCGACTACTAGCGAATGTCATCGCTGGCGAGTACTTGTCTTCACACCCGACCTGCTGTACCTCACTGGTTATGACTTCTCACTAGAATCCCAGGTAACTACCTACCTGAATAGGGCAAGTCGCTAGTGAGCATCTCATTGATATTCAAGTGTACCAAGCTATAGAAGCTTGTTAATTAACCGCTCCAAGTAGCTTTTCTATGGATCGATCTTCTTAGGCTCCCATCAGTTCTTCTTGTTAGTTGCACATCAAGAAACGGAATTTCTGATTCGTTCTCCATTTCAAGAGTGAATTTTATTGCTGGATGGCAACAGTTAAATGTCTTCAGCAGTAGATTGGGGTCATTGTTGTTGTCACAAATAATGAATATGTCGTCTACGTATCTTTTATACAGTCGTAAATTGTCAATGCTCGGCTTTAGTGGACCTTTCTCGAGGCTTGCCACGAAGCAATCTGATAGTAGTGAACCCAACGGAGATCCCATTGCAATACCACTTTTTTGTCTATAGATGGTGTCGTTGAAAGTGAACTGGACGTTCAGAGTGCATCTCAGTAGTAATTCCTTCAAATATGTTGTTGGTATTCCAATATTGAAATGGTTATCATCTGTATATTTGCATGTGAAGCAGACGGTTTCCGTGAGTGGGACATTGGTGAAAAGTGACTCAATGTCGAAAGACAGCATAATTTTGTTAGATACATTCAGGTCTTGTATGCAGTCGATGAACTGGAAGGTGTCACGGAGCGAGTGCGTACATAATTGTTTCCTTACAGGTTCCAGAATATCTGCCAGCCATTTTGCAATAGAATGGTAAGGGGAACCTAACATATCCAGAATTGGACGAAGTGGGAGACCAACCTTGTGTACCTTTGGTAGACCATAAAGTCTTGGTATTATTGAACCTGTTGGCCGGATATGGTCATAAATATGATATGATTGTGCTCGAAACGTCATCAGTAAATATATATTACTGTATAACACTGTGAGACTTTATCAAAATAAATTTCACCCATAATGAGTTGGCAGAAGTTGGAATTCATGAACCATTGGATTGGGTCCCAGTGGCTTAATGGTCCACAAGCTCGCCTTGTAACCAGAAGGTCATGGGTTCGAACCCTGGTGGTGGGTGCGCTCTACTAAAGAGTCCCAAACTAGGCTGACGAAACAGCTGTCCAGTACTCCCAGGTTTTCCAATGGTTCTCTAACTGATGTCAGTTCATGATGAAATCCTGAAACCAATCAAATCCCTGCAAATCAACACTTGTATCTTGGTATTTATCGTAATTTACTTATCTAATCTTCTTAGTCATCATTACTTTTTTAGGACTTTTGGGATTAGATTTCCGTCGGTGAAGCAACATCTGTTAGAGATTGTTGGGAACATGAGAGAACTGAACATTTGTTTCCTGGCATTTTGGGATTCCTTAGTAGTACACTCCCCCAAAAAAACCTCGAATACAATCGAACTTGGGACTTTCAGGTTATGAGACCAAGCTGGTTGACCATTCATTCAGCTACTTGAACTGAAATTCAATGATCGCTGAATTCTAACTTTTTTTTCAATGATCTCTCTGACTGATGTTGGTTGGCGGCGAAAACTCAACATATTTGGTTTACAGATTATTGATTATGTAACAATAACCTCTTGATAACCCTCGTAAATTAACTGGTAATTATTTTCACCCCTCCTATACCTGAAAATTTATATTTCTTATTGACTTGACCTACTAAAATATGATCACTTATTAGTATTTACTTTTATTTTATGTAACTGAGCAATTGTTAAACAATTTATTCTATTACTGTGAACCATTTGCTAGTTGGTGCGTCGGTAGTACAGAGGTAGGATGCTCGCCATCCAGGCATATGGTTCCGGGTTCGATTCCCGGCCACAGACGCACTCCTTTACCCCGCTAAGCCAGCAATAAGACTGGTAAAGAGGGAAGTTTGGTTGGGAATGAGGCTAGCAACCCCATCCTGTAAAAATAAACACCACTGCTACCGAAACTTCAAGTCTCTAGCTTGAAGCCCTATGTCCCACTGGGAACGTAAAGGAATAAAAAACATTTCATCAGTAGTTATCTTCACCCCTCTCAAACCATAATAATAATGATAATTCCTATTGACGGATTGGTATAATTTTCAGTTAACTATATACATATTAGCGTAGTCGTTGATGAAAAGGAATATGTACTTTTCGTTCAGTTTAGTGTTTTGTTTTGTTAATCAGATAGTGATTACCCCTGTGTGGAGACATACATTGGCAATTAAGTGATAGAATGCTTGCCAGCCACGTATAGGCTAAACCTTGCTTATCCGATAGTAAGCCTGGCAATGAGGAAAGGCTGGAGATGAAGCTAGCAACTTCACTCCATAAAAGAACAAACCACTACAGAAACTTCAAAGCTCTACCTTAAAGCCCTATGTTCCACTCGAAACACAAAAGAATGAATGTGGAGACGTGGCACTGGACTTTCAACCAGTAGATCTCAGATTCGAATCACGCCTCCCAACCACCTACTTCAGTCTGGACAACTAGGTAGTACCAACAGCCTTTAAGTAATCAGTGCGGCTCGTAGCCTGAAATATGAAAAACTTGTTTCGGGACTTCAGTTTAAACAACAAACAAGTGACCTTCAAGTGTTGAATTGCAGGAATTTGATTGATTTCAAGCCAGATCACGAATTGACTTCGGCTAAAGAACCATTGAAAAGTAGGGACTACTGGACAGTTATTTCGTCCTTGTTTGGAACAATTATTCAGCAGTACGCACCCAACACTACGGCAGGGATCCAGCCCAGGACCTTTAGGTTACAATGAGAGGTCATTGATCATTCAGCCAATGGTACGTTATACAATATGGCCCAAGAACTCCAACTTCTGTAAATTCGTGATATAGCACGAACCCCAGTCAATGTCACCAGTGAGTCTTTGTTCCTTCTACACCCATTTAGGTGGACCCCACTGGTCACGGCTTCCCACTAGTACTTCAGGTAACTTCATCTTGTGGTGGGTGATTCACTGGTGAGTACTAGACTAGTTTCCAAGTGTTGGTTTATAAAGATCTGATTGGTTACAAGACCGGTTACGTACTGGACAGAGTACTGATGAAGAGTCTCAGACAAGGACGAAACAATTGTTCAGTACTTACTCTGACTGAAGTCAGTTAGCAATCAATCTGGAAGACGAGTGATTACCTATTAAAAACTAAAGCTTATATGAATTCATGAAGCAAAACAACAATAACAACGACAACAAAAGAAACTCAATGTTGCAAGACTTACAGAGAGTTGATGCACTGATACCGGTAGAATTAAATTTTTTCGTGCTTATCTGACTTAATAATTTGTCTTTCTCTGCAATCCACACCTTTTCAGCTTGACGAAATTGATTCCTTTGTGCTAAGAATTCTTTAGTACTATCATATAATAATTCTTGACAACGTTTAAGCCTAATCAAAGAAATATAAAATAAATTATTATAAACTAGAACATACTGTTCTGATGATACACGTGCCTTCTCTTCATTACGTTTACGTAAACTGTCAGCTTCCTCTTGCATAGCTTTACGATCTTCCATAAGTGAATCAATCTGTTCACGTGCATTGCGTGTTTGTTCTTCCAATTGTGTTTGTAATGCTCTTAGCGAAGATTTTGACATTTCAAGTTCTCTTAATACAGCTTCATGTTCTGTACGAGATACTGAATCAGACCTGGAAGATATTGGGGCTGGTTCAGTACTAGTTGCATGATTCGATTTTGATTGATCTGATTATCATATAATTAATAAATCAAGAAACAAAATCAATAAATGAGTTGTCAAAAATCAAGGGATTATCAAAACGAATAAAAGTAACTATTTAAAAAAAATAAACTATTGTATCCACAGTATGTTATCATGAAATTCAGTTAATTGGTACACTAGGGACACTAAATAACTAGAAGTGTAACGACAGAAGACAAGGGCTAGACAACAGATCGTTTATTGAGAAAATCCAGAGGTATTTATAGATTTTTATGTACATTATTGTCAGCGGCGAAGCGACCTTTTCTGATTGGTTGCTTTTTTGCTGACGGTTATTCCGTTATCTCTTCACGGTCGTTTCTCAGAAAGTTAAGCCATATATCTGCGAATCATATTTCCACACGTCAACTCCTCTGTGATTGGCTGGTGATTTTCCCAAGGTTAAGCTTTGTTATTGTTTTTCTCCTGACCATGATTCAGAACGTGAACATCGACGTAAATTGTTGTCTACGATTTTAGCTTGCAACCAGCTCTCATCACAGAATAATATCAATATAATATTAAAATTTGTGTACTTAACGCTCTGAACACTCCTAAACACTTTCTGTTCTAACGCTGTAGGATAAAGTATAGTTGTCGTAATGTCACCAATACTACAACTAGTGTAACAACAGAAGACAAGGGCCAGGCAACAGATAGTTTATTGAGAAAATCCCCCAGATATAGATTTTTATGTACACTATTGTTAGCGTTATTGTTAGCAGAGAATCGAAGTCTTCTGATTGGTTGTTTCATTGCTGAGGGTTATTCTGTCATCTCTTTGTGGCAGTTTCTCAGAAAGTTAAGCCATATATCTCCGAATCATATTTGCACGCGTTAAGTCTGCTGTGATTAGTTGGTGAGTTCCTCAAGGTTAAGCTTTGTTTTTCTCCTGACCATGATTCAGGACGTGAACATTGACATAAATTGTTGTCTACAACTTTGTCTTGCTGACAGCTCTCATCACACTACTACAATTCTGTCCGAATTTCAGTGATATTATAATATTACTTCTACAATCCTTCTTGCCCTGGCCTGATCCTGCGTACAGAAGTTGTAATTAGTACTTAGTACGGAAATTATTTCTCAATTCAATTACAAAGCAATACAAATACCGAACGATGATATAGCATACCCCAACAAAGATGCAAATTGCAGTGACATAATTAGTCGCTATATTTACTTGATGATACAAGTAATTTATTTCTTCAGATATTTAACATTAAGTTATTGATCTGAGTTGCATCATCCTGGAGAGAATAAAGGATGCACTGGATACAGAACTCCGACCAGAACAAGCTGGATTCAGGAAAGGCAAATCTTGTTCTGACCAAATTGCAACTCTACGCATTATCATCG